ACTCTGTGGTGCAAGACTCGTTCACTGTCCGTCCTGCAACATGTAGAGGGAGGAACATGAGGTCTTTTTAGTCTACACATATGATGACAAAGACAAAATATCATATACATTGGAAATTTGGGGTTGCCTCATTGTAACATAAATATACAAACAATTGGAGGAAACTAAGTGGCATCATTTGAATATTATCAGATCCAAACAGAAGAGTCCAAAGCCAAGTCATCCTATATGGGATAACCATAGAAGCTCAGATATTTCTGAGAGCTCCAAAATATCCAGCTTACGAAAGTGCCAAAAAAGGCAAAAAATATATTCCTCCCTACTACTCTCCTGCACATCTCTTCATATTTAAATACACTTGTCACTTTTACATTACACTTGTTTACAGTCCTGTTATCCGTTTGTCGTGCACTTTATTTTATATTCTTTTAAATTCTATTGTAAATTTTAATATGTTTCTATTTCTTGCACTGTTGATTGTTGTTTATTGTTCAATGTTATTGTCTAATGTTATGCACCACCTGCCATGACAAATTCCTTGTATGTTACATACATTGGCAATAAACGATTCTGATTCTGGTATGGATACCTCATATTGGCCAGCACTCAGTAAAAACACAAACACATAATTAAGAGCAAAAATATCACATATTTTCATGATTCAGCAATCTGATTTTGTGGGGTATCCTGATAGCCACATGTTAAGTAACTAGTCTAAAAATCGGATCAGCACAAAAGAAAAAAATAAGCAAATATAATTTTTAGAGATCCCTGTTTACATTTTTTTTGCCGATCATTGAAGATCCAAATCGGCAGATACAGATACCTTTGTTTGATTATAGCAGCTGGTCTACGAGGCTCCAGACTATGTTTTTTTGCCACCGCCCCCAAAAATCATTTCAACCGCTCTGAAGTCAGTTTAAACCATCAAAAATGTTACATGTTATCCATTTACTTTGTTGTAGTAATTTATAATGTTTTTTGTTCTTCATAACAACTTACAATTCAAATGATGAGGAAATAAAAGATTGTATTTTTATTAATTAAAACTAATTCTGTCATTCGTAGTTTTAATGATGTATTATAAGCTGCTTAGAGCTAGTGTTAGGAAGTTAAACAGCTCATAATTCATCATTAATATCTATTTATATTGTTGTGAAAACGTCTCCTTCAAACAACTGGATTTATTCAAGTTTCTCAGCAACACTACATTTTACAAGATCACATGTGAACACACTTCGTCCAATACTCATTTTCACTGAACCGAGCCTGAACACATCATAATCTAACTGAGCGGAACCTTCGTTCTCATTTTGTCAATTTAAACAGATTAGTTGTTTACTATGTAACATTATCAAAGATCTGAGACTAGAAAAGCATGAATGACGATGTCCTGATCGCATATTTTACAGATTATTGGCAGCTGACGATCGTCAATTAAACTTTATTTCACACTGTGATAGTTAACGTTAAACTGTCCACTATCACATAAAGGTAAAGAGGAAGTATCACGTATGCTATCATAACAATGCTAGGTATTTTTGTCTTGATAGATTTCTCACCAAGTGTGTGATAGGCTGTTCCACACTAGCCTGTGTTCTCTCAACAGGAATTTCTGCAACACTCCGACAAATTCTTTTTGGAAGTGGCTTGTCAGAGGCTCACCTGCTGGTTGCACAGCACCTACAGTATGCATATACACATGATAGATAATAAGAGACAAGGACATTATACACATTTTTCAGTGTAAAAAAATCTGTGACACCCTGTTTACCTTCAATGACAGCATACTGTAGACACGCTCCTGGAGTAACTTTCAAGATGTCTTTGAGTTTTCCATCTATGGTGAAGTGTGGAGCATCCTGAGAACATAACACACATGTACACGCTGTATATGTAGTACACATACTTTAGTGACAGAAAGAGGATTTCAAGCAGTGTGTGAAAGCTAAAGATTGTTTACATGGTTTCACAACTAATCCCATTCCTCCCGATGGCTTGAACAGCATGAAAACACAAAATTACACTTTCAAAATAAAACAATAAAACCGTATGTAAGATCATATTGATTACACATGAAAAACAACTTACATCAAGTTTATCTAGTGTCGTCCGGCTCTTCCTATAGAGATAGTAACAGATGCCTGAGAGGGCAAGGCTGGCCCCAAGACACACTGCCTCTGTAACCTCCATAGGAAATCCATCCATTCCCTCTGAGCCTCCTGTCGCTGCAAACCTGTACGAAGGTAAAAAAAAAAAAAAAAAAAAGGATGGTCTTATGTCCTATTAATGACAAAAAAGTGCATGTTGCTGCGCATTTTTAAAAGGGACTCAATGCAGTGTATAAGTCTATAAAGCACCTCATAGTGCTTTAAGTTGGTCATCATCAACCCCAAATGTAACACATGTAAGCTGTCATGTGAGGAACATGCAGACAGCATCAAGTCCTACTGATGGAAAGTGATGAGCAATGGAATCAGACACTTCAATAATTATTGTAAAGTTGCAAACAGAGCTAGAAATAAATAAAGGAAAATGATACATGTCAAACTTTACACTTGGGTATCATGGAATTTGAATTTACCCCTTGCATTAATGAATTTGTCAGCTGTTTAGTGTAGTGTAGCTTCTTGGTGTTGACATTCAAAATATGTCAGTTGACAAGGAATAGCTACCACATGTTTTGCAATTAAATGTACCTATATGTTACGCTAACTAGCTTGGTATTTGCAGCAGTCCCAAAGCAAAGTCAACGATACTGCCTTTGTTAAAAGTGCCATTAAAACATGGCACATTGTATATCATGTGAGCGTACCGCTTGTCACACAGAGTATTTCAGTGAGAATATGAATTAAAATATTGGTTAGCTAAAGTTAGCTGCTAGCAACTAACGCTACAATGAGACAGGGGAAGAAGTAGTGACCTCGAACCACTTTTTATGACAACATTAGCGTTATTCAACCATGTGAGCAACAGTACATGGTGTATAAATATCTTCACTGTCTAGTACGATTAATTATAAATTAGTTTTTGTACCTCAGAGAAACCAAGCTGCTCTCAAGTTGACATATTCGTTTGACCGGTGTTGTTGCCCATGTCACGTGACGTAGATGATGACGTTGCAGGACTACGTATTACTGCGCATGTCCGTTGCAGTCTCTCTGTCTCTCGCCGTCGCAGCCACTGTGGTCGCTTCATACGCCGCCGAGATGGCAGGAGGTGTGCGGAGAAAATCTCCGGGTTCCCCGTCCGCACTGTGGGGGAAACTTCACACACTGTGGCAGGACAAACATATGGTCCTGTTCAAGACGGAATACACGTTACTGGTCGTCTCAGTGTTGTGGTTCCTAGAGATCGGGATCAATGTGTGGGTCATACAGAAAGTAGCATGTAAGTAGCTGCGCGGCTAGTTAACATGCTATGGTGCTTTGTCATTGTTCTGAACGTATCTGAACGCTAAGTAGCTAGCATTAGCAAACCTACTAACTTACTCTGCCACCTGTCAAAGGGAATTTTCTGCCCTTGCATGACCACATAAGATCGTCTGTTCTGTTACAGTGTTGAACGCCATTTATTATTTTTCAGCAACTTCTATCAAAAACATGCAGCTAAACAAGCTACTTTTAACGACAACAACGTTAATCTGAATTTGCAGAAGCATGGTAATAACTGCCCACTGATAACATACGTTAACTCCTGTGTTCCAGGCATGATTATGTCATAGTTTATTTTGACAAATTTACTTCTTTGTCTGATATAAGGCTGTAACAATTAATAATAATTGATTAGTTAATTAATCTCATCAATTAATTTGGATCAATCAATAAATTCTTTAAAATGTCAATAGTGATCAAAACTTCTGTTTTCTTGGTTCGTCCCATCAACAGTCCAGAATCTAAAGCTATTAAATAAATAAAAAACTGCAAATGTTCACAGTTAGGAAGCTGGAGCCAGTGAATGTTTGACATTTTCTACATGTTAACTAACTAAAATGATATTTCACACACAATATGGCTCACTGATCAATCAACTAACCCTTTCAGCACTAGTCCACAGTCATGCTGAAAGAGTTTATGATATGATATTGATGAAGCGTTTTAGTCAATTATGAACCAACAATTTGCAGCTTCACAAATGCAACGAGCTGGTTTTATTGATATGGAGGTTCCATATCAAAAGATGAAGACTTTTGGATGTTTTTGGATGTCAAATAATTAGTTATAGGACTTTGGACCAACATATTTGATGGGCATTTGTCATATTTTTAAAAAAAGTATAGCCAAAGAATATTAATTATATTCAGTAGAGAAAAAAACGATGATGTTGGTACAGTTTTTTATATATATATATATATAACAACACAGCACTGACAGTAACCTTCCCCATCGCTCACAATCCCCGATTCCTGCTCTTTTCTGCAGACACCGAGATAGACTGGAAAGCCTACATGGATGAAGTAGAGGGAGTCATCAATGGTACCTACGACTACACCGAGCTTAAAGGAGACACCGGCCCGTTGGTGTGAGTTTCAAAGGTTTCATGTGATGTAGGTCTCTCTACCCTGTAGTTACATGTGGTTTTCAGTGCAGGATAAATCAGCACCTCGTTGTTGCAGGTACCCGGCTGGCTTTGTCTACATCTTCACAGCGCTCTACTACATTACCAGCCGTGGGGTGAACATCCGTCTGGCCCAGTACATATTTGCTGCTTTCTACCTCATCACACTGCTGCTCGTCTTCAGGGTGTACCACCGCACTAAGAAGGTCAGTCTGTGTAACTAAAGCCTCAGTTACCATGTGGCCTTATACAATTTGCTCACTAAACTGTAGTGTTGTGCTTGTGAGGCCATTGAGTTAGCATTAAACTATTTCTCTGTACTTTTTACTTTTTAACTTGAATATTCTGTATATATGTCTATAATGTATGCCAATACCCAATTTCTTGTTGAAACACCAATGAGTGTAGTTTCCCTTTTTATTGCCATAATTATATATTTCTTTATTTCTTTGTATTTTCCCAGGTTCCTCCCTATGTGTTCTTCTTTGTGTGCTGTGCTTCTTATCGGATACACTCCATCTTTGTTCTGCGTCTCTTTAATGACCCTGTGGCCATGATGCTGCTGTTTGCAGCTGTCAACCTCTTCATGGATGGATACTGGACTCTGGGCTGCGGCCTTTACAGGCAAGTGTGAACTCCTTAACAGCACAATGCAGCTTTTCATGTGATGGCTTTCTGTGGAGGAAATAGTTATCTGCTGTGTAATGTATGTAAATATTCAAACATACAGTTATTTGTTTTGCCATGTGTTGCATAATGTAATAACAACCTAATCTTCCTCTCTTTCTGACAGTTTAGCAGTGTCTGTGAAAATGAATGTGCTCCTTTTTGCTCCGGGACTACTTTTGCTCCTCCTGTCTGAGTTTGGTCTAATCCGGACAATTCCCAAACTTTGTCTGTGTGCAGGTATACAGGTAAAAGATGACCTATGACATAAAACCAGGGATGGTTTAACTGGCATATTTTATTAACAATGTCCAGTATGGTCAAGCATCATCTCGAAATGAATCTGTCTTAATATCACAGCTTCTGCTAGGTCTGCCTTTCCTCCTGGAGAATCCCATGGGTTACATGAGCCAGGCGTTTGACCTTGGCCGTCAGTTTATGTTCAAGTGGACGGTCAACTGGCGCTTCCTGCCAGAATGGCTCTTCTTGAATCGGTACTTCCACTTGCTCCTGCTGACTGTCCACCTGCTAGCCCTGCTGCTCTTTGCTCTCCACCGTTGGAAGAGGTGAGAGAGACTTTGGCTGTGCCAAGGTTACCGTTGGCCAGGGGCGTTTCTAGGATTCAAAGAAAGGGGGGGCTTAGCCCCAAGGGGAGTGGCATGTTTGCGCGATTTGTTTTTGGGGCCCATTTGGGGCCGCGGATATCCATTGTTTCAGACAGTTCATAGATTGGTTCAATCAGAAAGAGTATGATTTTGCTCTGTAGTTTTGCTTGCATTCAGTATATGATAACACAAGAGACAGAATTTGAGGGTCATAGTGAAATATGACAACACAAATGTGAACTTTTCTCAAATAAGGAATATCCGCGTCACTCCCAAATCCTAATTCTTAAAGGGACCGCACACAATGGATGGAGAATGGACCTGACAGTGTCAACTTTACATCGTTAAGTATGATGATAGGCTATTGGATTGTAATTTGAAGGGGGAGAAAACATACAAACCAGAACGCACGCACATATGTAGCATGTTAGAGTTATAAATAACTTGTCCATGTGAGAAACAATAGTTTAATTTAATGACATCACCATTTTTTTTTAAAGCCAATAATGCCAAATTATTTGGGGGGCTGAAGAACATTTGAGGGGGGCTTCAGCCCCCCTAAAATAGGCCTAACGACGCCCCTGCCGTTGGCCTTCTAGTTTGACTTGAGCTGAAATAAATCAGGAGTTAATGTCATGACAGTTTTTGTTCCACGACACAGCAGTCAGTAGTTTATCTCATGGACCCTGATATATCCCAGATGTTTAGATGAAGCGTGAGGATGGTATGAATATTGTCATAATTAATCATCTGCGATGCAGAGACAACAGTGTTTTGCTTGCCACCACAATGACTCTTAAGCAGCATGGCATTATGAGACAATGCAACAAACTGTCATGAAGAAACACAAAGATATCTCAACAGCATAGAAGCCCTTTGTGAAGTGACCTTTACTGTAAAATACATATCTACACTACAACCTATCTCTGTATTCTGCTGAAAAATGCATTTTGGCAATTCAAGTCTGTGGGTTATCCACTGAATCAAATGTAGTCTTTTGTTGCAGAGGAATGATGCCACTTTTATATTTTAAATGTTGTGTTACTATTTTAGGGCAATCTTTATCATTGATTGAAGCCAGTAATGTGCTTTATGAAAAAGATTGTGCTACACACATCTTTTAGGTCATCAGTCACAGTTTTTCACAAATATGACTTTACAGTTAAGGAAGGTGTTAACATGTGCTATATTGATTTATATTTTGCCATCTACTAAAAGTAACTATTTTCTCTTACAAGGCCAGGAGAAAGCATCTTCGAACTGCTCAAGGACCCAAGCAAGAGGAAAACACCTGCTCAGAAGATCCCTGTTGATCATATCCTTTTGTTCCATTTGAATCTACTCCTGTATTGTTCCTTAAAGGACAAATCAGCATTGTCATTATAACTTTTACTGCTGGGTGTCTGCATGATATTGGTCAGAGAGTAAATGATATTTTTAGTATTCCCTGGCTTATGTATCAGACCTTAACAGAAAATCACAGATGGTGCTGATTCTGTTCAGCTCTAACTTCATTGGCATGTGCTTCAGTCGTTCGTTGCACTACCAGTTCTACGTCTGGTACTTCCACACACTGCCTTACCTGCTCTGGAGCGGAGGAGTCAAGAAGATGGCCCACCTGCTCAGGTAAGAGGGCGTCTACATACTAAGCTACAAGTTATATTTTTGATTAGTTTTAGACCTACAGCATAGCACATCACCAAACGCTCGATCAAATGTTGATGCTATATTGTTTTCTCCTTGTGTTCAGGGTTCTTATCCTGGGTCTGATCGAGCTTTCGTGGAACACCTACCCCTCTACAAACAGCAGCTCCGCCGCCCTCCACGTCTGTCATCTCATCATCCTCCTCTGTCTGTGGCTGGCTCCGCCGCTGCCTTCCGCCCCAGCAGAAACACAAGAACACACACCCGTCAAGGACAAGCGCCAGTGAGCCACAGCCTGATTGGTCAATATTTAAGTCTAATCAGCTGCTGAACAGCCTCCACCACCCTCCTCTGATCCTCACACCGGTGCAGAGTGAGGTCACAGGGATAGACTGTGTTGTAAGTGAATACAAGGAGCCATTTAATGCTTCACATCTCAGCTAACTATTAAAGTGAAGGAAGATAATGTGTGGGTGCGGTCGGCAGAGAGATGCCTACATGATGAAGTAGTCCCTTGCAGTTTAAAGATATGAAACGAGAAAGAAAATAGTGATTCGCAGGTTTCATGTTCAGATTCAAGAGTGGAGTAGAGCGCTAAGAGGAGATTGTGACTTTCAACAGGCCAAGTCATTTTTCCTTTACTTGATATTCTGATATTATAAAAAAAATAGAAAGACATCATTGATATGTTACAGAATTTGAACGTAGCACCAAAAGCTTTAAATGAATTGCAATCGGGCAGTAGGCTGCAGCATTTCCACTTGTTGCAGTATTCTTCAGTAGAAGGCCAAAAATATTATCCAGTAGTTGTATAATTCTACACAAATGTGTAAAACTAAGCCGTAGACAATCATTGCTATTTGTCTGATCTGTTACATAATTGATTCATCTTCTGTTGTAAGTGGCTCACTTCACTAAGTACATGTAATGTGAACAGTTGGCAGTATAGACTGAGACCGCAAACGCATGACATTTTATATTAAACAGAGATGCCACTTTACCTTGAAGTTTCTTCTTCTTCTTCTTTTATGTATGTTTTTGTTACATATTACAACAAATGTATGAATTCCACTGTTTTTTTATTTTATTTTCCCAACATTCATTATTTAAAGTAAGATTTCATTAGTTTATCAAATAATCATCCTCATAATCAAAATGATACTCATTCAACACTGACTGTGATTATACGTTTGGCAAAGTAGCTGACTACATATAGACTACAAAAAGCCCATTCAGGTGGTCAAGGCATTGTTGTGATTGCATAAAGCAATATACAGATTTAGGATCAAAGGCCACTTGGTCTGTCATTTGAGATTATTCTTTCGACATAAATATAAAGTCTTAAATTGATTTTTTTTAAAAAGTCATGTGCAACTTAATATTTGAATGAACTTGGCACTAGGTTATAGTATTAGTTGATCCTGCAGATAAAATACAGGATTCCTCGTCTATGTAGAGACGTCCCTTTTTAGGAGTCGTTATCGGTAACAAATTATTATGCTAATCTGTAGATCGGACTCGGTTTCCTCAGAGATCATTGTCTCACATATTATTTGGGTTATAACACAACATGTTGAGCTTGATGTTCTCGTCCCAGTGGCGCAGCAGCAGGAACAGCTGTCTGGCAGCTCCCTTCAGCCCTGCCGGGTCCACTCCCTCGGGCAGCTCCTGACAGCGCAGCCAGAAGTCTGCTTTTGCTGCCACCAGCTCCCACTCCATGAAGTAGCCGGCACAGCGGTGCTCGAGCCAGGCTAGAGCCACAGCTGTGGCCCAGCTCGAGCCCTCCAGGTCCTCTAGAGCCAACTGGCTGTTCCCTTGGAGATCAGCTGGCTCTATTGAGGACCCTTCACATACATCCGTCTCTGATCCACGCCCGCTATCTGCCTGGCCGTGGCTCAGGCTCTGAGAGGGTCCGACAGATAGCTCCAAGGAGCCCTCCTCAGAGCTGGGGAGGTCAGGGGGCGAGGTGACAGGGTCTCGGTCAGACGGGTGTCTTCGGCGTAGCCTTGGTTCCAGCATCAGGGGAGTGTCGTCTGGAGTGTGGTGGAAAGGAGGGGCAGTTGGTTTGGCAAGGGAGGAAGAAGAAGGAGAAAATGTTACATGGTGGCTGGTAGGAGCACCAGAAGGCTTGTTAGAGGCGGATAAAGACGGAGCACTGGGAGATGTGCAGCGGAATGGCGGGCTGAGACTGCGGCGGTGGAGGCTGTAGGGTGAAGCCCTTTTCAGGCGGTCCAGGGGGATCTGGACACAGTCAGAGTAGATCTCTGTCAGAAGAAAAGCTCCCGATGCCAGCTGCAGATGCACCTGATTAGACACCATTTAGACACAGATTAATAAATGTCTTTGCACACTTGTGTGTGTATTTAAGTGTAGATGTTATCCGTGTCTGCACAGCTCACCAAGGGCAGGTAGTCTGGAGCTTCAGTTTCAGGTTGCTTCTCCGTCTCTGCGGACAGACAGTGGGACTTGAGAGGAACCTGCTTTCCTGATGAAATGGAGGACCTGAGTCTGCCCAATGGAAATCTGGAATATACAGAAGAGGTTGGATTTTTGGCCTTTGAATATCCATACATTTGGATGTAGACATAATACACACCCCAAACAGAAAGTTTGCTCTCTGAAGTAACTGGAGCACAAGCACTGCTACGAAGTCCCCTTTACACTGTAATGCCACATTCACAAGAATTATAATTTGGAGTGAAACTTTTACCTGGCGCCAAAGAAGCTTTCCATTGACTTGCTCTCGATGGATCGCTGTGAACGAGTGCATGAGGCACCTGTCATTGCTGGCGCTGTAGCAGAGTACGCACTGCCCCCTACATCTGAGAAAGCAGTGTGGGATAAAACATAAACAGTATTGTGTCAGCACAGTGATAACGTGATGTTTGTGGTTGTATTTAAAGGTTCAATTCACCCTTTACATGACATAGACCTAAAAAACATTTTTGTCTTGCTCAACATTTTGGGCTATTTTTTTCTGGAAGAAAATGTTGCTTTTAAAGTTTTTCAATGCTGCAAGTTTAAAGATCCATCGGCTTTCTTTGCATTGGGGTGAAGACGGAAATCTTTTTTTGTTCTTTCTGTAATTTGGGTAAATTGATCCTTTAAGGACTACCTCAGGGGTTGCGGGTGCGCATAATCAAGTCAGGAGAGAGCGGTTCAGATTTTTCTCCTTCAGTAAAGACTCACCTTGAGATTTGAATGAACTTTCTGATAAGACACCTCTAAGCTCGAGACTACACTCGCACTACAATGTTTTTTCACTGATCGAGTCGACAATACTTACTAGAGTCCCAGGATGTAAGGCTACAGGGTGAGGCAGGGGTGTCATCTCTGTCTGAGAGATACAAAGATTGTTGATGACCTAAAGTCTTGAAAACAGAAATGGGTGCTGGTATCATTCAGTCTGTCTACCTGTAGAGTTCCAGGCGTCCTCGACCTCTTCACTGTCTCTGCTGGTGCGCCGTCTGCCTAAACCAACAGAATACACCCTCTGCTTGCGACTACCTGATTGGGAACTCCGGCTGTTCCCCAAATGCATTCCTACACGCACACACACGCACACACACAGACAAAATTGTGTTATTGACTAACTTTACCCTGGTGTAAGAGATCAAATCAGTATTTTCCTCATCATTTTAACATTATGCAACAGGCATTGCAAACGATTTTAGACTATGAAGGTTATGATTTATGTGGTGCTGGTTGAAACTATGTACTTGTCCCCACAAAAATAAATATTAAAGGTGCACTCCAGTGAGCATTAGTATCATTAAGATGGGAACTCACGAGAAACGCATAAAAAAAGGAATGGTCCAAAACTAAGAAGCGGTGGCTAAATTATATCCTGATTTATAATCCAGGCTGTGGCTCAAAAACGAAAAAACACTTAATCCTAAAATTCCCATAATGCAACACTGAAGCATCTTTAAACAGACCCTTGCTGCCTAATGAATGCCAACATCTTTCAAACTGCACGTACCAAGTTCTGAACATAGGGTTTCAGTTAAAAATGGATTGGTAGTAAGCCACACCTGTGTTTTGGACGTCCGTGCTGTCCTGCAAGCATTTGTTGGGGTTGCTATCAGTGATAGTGAAGGCTGTGTACATGCAGATGATGTTACAATGCTTACTGGTCTGGATAGCCTTCATGCGGTATCGCTTTGCTGAACCTAAGAAACAGTAAGGGGTAGACAGAGCGTATACCAAATAACTTAAGGTAACGTGATATAAACGTTTGAAGTAGTTAATTAAGCCTCACCATGTCCACAGTCGCTCTCTTTCTCTGCCATCTTCTCAAAGTCCCTAATAACTGAGCGAGCAGTCAGTTGGTGAATGATCTCATCCCATGTTTCCCCTCCTTTTCCTTCTTCCCCTGCTATTCCTCCTCCTTCTCCACATCCCTCAACTCCTGGTGACTCCTGGACGTCAGGGGTCCAGAGGTGCCCCAGGTCCACGGTAACCTCCCAGGACACGGGTCTGCCGCTCAACAGGCCATGAATGAGCGAGCGGCATTGACCTGGCGGAGGATCCTCCGGTGGTGCAGCAGTGAAGAGGTACTCTGGGTCTGTGAAGCTGTCCCAGTCCAGAGGAGAAGCAGGGAACAGGAGTCCATCTGAGGGTCAGAGTGAGAAAGAATAAATATGTGTTGGAGGCAAAATAGTAATCCTGCTTTTCTTAGAACTATAGCGCACTAGAGTCAGTGAGGCTTCGGCGGGACAGTGTGCCTCTCGATGGGGGCTTTGTCTCCCCATCGCTTTCGTCCAGTCTCCCTCCCAGCGTTTGGTCGAAGGAGACCCTCTCCAGAGCTCTCCTCAGGCGATGCATCTCCAGCTCGCCCTGGGGGGACGAGAAACTCCGTGCTGCCATGGTTGAACGGGCAAGTACTTTATGTCTCCTACGAGACTCCTCTCCTCCATCCAGAAGCTCACTCTGGTTGTATAAGAGGGAAAAGCAACTGGGTTCAAAAAAAAGTAGGTTAGACTGCTATTTTATTTTTCCTTGCAACCACATATGTCTATATTTAAAATATGTTGGGGATCTGTTTGTACTGTATCTAGTTGTGATATTTTGTACATTACAGTACTTCTATGATGTGTATACAGTACTATCAATTGCACCTTTTCTGCCCCGTTATCGGGGGTTTCTGTTGAGAGGTTTTGCTGCCATGCAGAGTCTGCCCAGCGAGACAGGGACGACCTCTGTTCTGGAGGGGGCATCTTTTCAAGGCCTTGGGGTAGAGACCCAGTATCCAGCACTGAACCAGAGGAGTGAGGGTCCGGGAGAAAGACCCCGCCTGCAGAGTCAGAGTTGGACGAGGCGTGTATGTGTGAGTGGGACTGTGTTTGAAGACTCCGCTCACTACTGAGGGAGCAGCGAGTAAGGACGTACTGCTCCTGGATATATGAGCTCTCCTGGATCCTCCTCCTCACGTCACTGGACCAGTCTAGCCCCACAACTATAGAGCGGATAAAAGCCCAACATGAACCACAATGGTATGAGGTGTCCAGTCTTGATTTATACTCACTACAAGATCCACTGATGATTGACTGACCTGGGCTGGTTCCAGGATCTGTGTTTTTGGCGCAGGAGAACTCAGAGGAGATTTCCCTGGAAATCTCCCTCAGCGCCTCCTCCAGGTTGGCGCCATCGGCACATGTCACCACAGGCATTAACTCGGCGGCAGGGGAAGGTGAAAGCTCATCATTTGACTGTCCAAAAACTGAACCCGTGGAGCCTCGGTGTACACCTTTATAGCCGCGTCCTTGAGACTATAAAAAAGTTAGATTAGATATCTGCTTTTCTATGCAGACACACACAGACGTAATTTTAAAGAATGTAGTTACGTGTACCTCTGTCCTTTTTGCTTTGAAATTCGTCATATCATATAGGGTGCAATATCCAATTAGACGATTCCCAGGGTAGAGCGGAGGGATTTCATTGGGGGAAAGAAAAGCTTCCATGTTTTCTGGCAGATACCAGTCAATCCGTACGTCAGTCAGCACAGGTTCAAAGGCCTTTTTCAGAGACTTTATTAACTGATGAGATAGATTGATCACATTATTTATAAATTGAAGGCTTTACAATTCATTTGTACAACTGAATAGTGGCCAGTGGTGCAAGAAGTACTCAGATTATAAGTAAAAGTACCAAAACATTCATGTAAAATACTCCAGTGTTGCATTCAAAATTGTACTCAAGTAAAAATACATAAGTATCATCAGCAAAATGTACTGAAAGTATCAAAATCAAAGTACTTGTGCAGAGAAATTGCCCATGTGGTATTTCATTATTAGTAGTAAAACTGATTCCTCATTGTGGACTAAAAGTAGTAATTTAATGTTGTAGCTGTTCAAGGTGTAGCTAGTAAGTAAGTAAAGTAGAAAAGTATACTTAAGAAGGGTACTTGAGAAAATGTACTTTACTTTTCACTGCTGATGGCTTGTGATATGCAGAAAGGCAAATGTGAAGAACTAAATCTGTATGTATTTATCTCGTAAGAAAGTAAGCTCATGCTTATAATTGTTCTGCAATCTATATTTCTTCCAATAGGTGGCAGTGTTGCATTGCTGCTGACCTTGGGCTGAAGTCTCTCCTCATCATCCAAGAACTCTGTCGTCCCTCCTGTCAGTTTGGCAACGCCCTGCAAGAGTCTCCTGCAGGCTCGAGGCCCAAGGCCCAGGCCAAAGCATCTGCATAGATGATACAGTTCTCCATTTTCAAAATTAAATTAAAGTTATTGTGTTACAGCGTAGTCTTTGATGCACTGCCTGCACTATATGTACAATGTGCTCTGGACTTGTGTTCCCATATAAACAAATCCACTACGAGCCTTTTGCAGCAACTCAGTATCTATTTGTGAAACCCTAATAGCATACAAAGGCTTCCATGTGTCTAAGAAAAGAGAACATTTGGAGTCATTAAAGACAAATAACTGTTATTTTGGTACTCAGAGGGATCACAAGCCATTTGGCTAATTGGGAGTTTGAAAAGAACAGGGGACAGAATAATTGAAAGGGCTGAGATCCTGCTTGTGTGCTGTCTCTAAAAACAGCAAGTCAGTCTGGTTGGCCAGATACTGTTTGCACTACCTGAATAACAAGACAGGAAACCACAATGATTTAAATACAAGGCCTATTTTTGTGACTACATGTAGTTAGACTGACATGTAACAGTCCTTCATTGAAATGAAATGTATTGAGAATAACGAAAGATTTACATAGTATGCGAAGGGACAGCAATACAGTGGAGAAAGACAGCCTATCAGGAGAATACTAATGAGGGATAAATGGAGTTATTGTGCATTGCTGAAGGGCCTCAGGACAACCTGAGGGGCGTGTCTCTTACTGCAGAGGAGAGCACTTAACGGGATTACTGGGCGGGGGAAAAAAAAATACCTCAGCCCTTTCTTTTCTTTCTTTCACAGTGCTTTGGTCTCAGTTCTTCAAGATCAAGATCACTGTTTGCTTGTCTCTTCCTCTCCTTCCTCCTCCAGATGGTGTCTCTTTCATATTTATCACCTCATTCTGCCTGCACTCACTGCACTCCATTCCTCTCTGCTTCCTTGTCACACGCCAGCCATAGAATAAATCTTTGGTAACTAGTTGTTCGACTTAATGTCCGTTTTGTGTGTGTTTTTGCCTCAGATTGGATATCCACCTTGTGCCTCGCTGTACCTTTCCTCACACATGATGGGTCAAATATCTAATTGCAGATAGGTTTAAGCTCATTACCTGCCAGCGCATGTGTTTCTTCGGACCAGCTCCAGCACTTTAGCCACATTGCTGATGGATCCATCTGTGATAATGAAGACCTGGCGAGGATATGAGCGCTGCATTGGCTGCTGGTACACCCAGGACAGCGCCCCCAGCAGGTTGGTGCCTCGCATGTCAGCTCTCATCCTCTGGGTGTACTCTAATGCCTGCATTAGAGTGACCTGAGGCAGAGAAGAAGAAAAGCAAAGATGCCATCAGACCTACAGTAAAGGTGGGAAAAGCAAGCATCAACCAACAACATCTGTCCAACTGCTCGACGCTGCCTTGCAAACATCACCCATGTTGTCAAGATTCCCCAATTAGCCTGTGAGGGTGGCAAAGAATTGAATCGGCAAATCTCTAATAAAGAGAGAGCAAACACACATGCATTAGCACCTGCCTTCACACCACCTCGAATCACACTTTGGACAAACATGCCCGACAGGCGAGGAGATGGAAGGACATCTCGTGCCTTAGTGAAAATGCATGAAAGGTCACCATATGCTCAGTAATATGTGGAACGACTGTTTGTCCTTGCAGCCCCTGGTCTGGAAAAAACCTGATACTCTGCTACTAAGGCAACGCATATTGCCTGATTAGAAGCTAGACAAAATAGAACAGATCGTCCAAAATGGGCGAAAAACATCTGCTTTCCATAAACATGAAAGCACATGTTAACAATAACATGATTTGTTTCACTGAAAATCCTATAAACAAGGCAGATACAGATAATTATCCAATCTATAAGGTTACTGCATCAAACTAACATCAGTGCAGAGCTTGCTGGAGGTGAACAGAGGCTTGATGGTGGTTCCAAAGCCCACAACGTTGAGCATGGTGCCAGAGGGGAGACTCTTCAATGCCACCACCATGGCATCCTGTGGAAACATGAAGGGACAGACAGGATGGAGCCAGATCAACATACGTCTCTAAATGTCAAGACTAAAATCTGGTTCAGTGGTACGTTTTCATCCTGCCTGCAGCTCACCTTTACATGGTGGATGTTGGTGCCACTCATGCTGCCGCTGCGATCAACAAGGAACATCAGTTCTCTGGTGGCTTTGTGCAGCTCCAGAGGTTCACGCAGCAAGTCGGGACAGAAATTGAGCATCAAGACGGGGCTGCTCAGAATGTCCTTGTGGTATCGCTTCCTCACAAACTCCAGCTGCAGGCCAAGTGGAACATCAGCATGTTTTTATGCAGTAACACCGTCAGAGTACATGAATAGGGACACTTGTGAGATTACAATGGTGAATAATGAAGCAGCATGAGTAATCACTAACCTTCCTCTCAGGTTGGGAATCTTTGCGAATGCAGCGAATGAAATCCCGACGGGAGTAGATCTGCTGTTCGTACTGGCTGAACGAAAGCCTGCCTCGCTCTAATATGACCAATGGGCTGTGAGGTTCTGTGGAGGAGGTTTGTTAATTGAAGTCACATTCAGGTATTGGGGGGGGGGGGAAGTAGGTACACTTTTCAACTACTCACCACTGAGGTGCAGAATGATCTCTATGTGTCTGTCAAACGGATGCTCTTGTGCCAAGGTGATGTAGGTCGCAGAGGCACTTTGGGCACTGGGGTCTGCATCTGCCCTCAGAGCGTGAGTGGGGCTCTCCAGTCCTATAAACCAGTTTAGGAAGAAATAAAGACAAGCTAATCATTGGTTATATGCATTTATGATAAGTAATGATTACTTTTTTTTTTACTGTCGAGGTGACTGAGTCCTCAGTCTATCCTTTGGATTTTGTGTTCTGGCTGTGCTTGGATTCAGGCCCTCTCTGTAAACCGTTCATTTTATTTCGTAATGAGATTGCCCACCATTCTAATACATCACAATGACTCAGTCAACCGTACCGGCCAGTAGGCAGGCCCCTCTGACCAGTAGCTGGAAGTTCAGTTCATAAGGTGCCAGGTTGGCAGCTGGACTGGTGAAGATGGAATAGGCACACTGCTGCTCAGAGTCTAGGGCCCTGTCTTGTTTTCCTGAGGTGGCACCAAAGCAGCTGGTTGGCCTGAGAAGGAGAGAAATGTAAAGTATTTCGGAAAACAAAATACAGTGGTCAGTTACATTTAATTCATTTAAAAGGATAATGTTCAGTACAATTGTGTTGCCAGAGTTGTTTTTTGACATAAATACCCAGTTTCTTCAGATTTCCCCCCGTTTTCACTCTTGCTTGGAGTCATCTGGCCAGTGACGATTGGTGTCAGCAATGTGGGGTAGACAATGCTGATTGCTCCATTTTCTAATGTGGGGAGTTCGAGTGTGGTGCTTATGATAACGGACACTATATCCATGGGGCCAATGACGCCTGTGCTCACGATGAAGGTGGTTCTTTCAAGGTCTTCGTCCAGGATGAGATGTCCTAAAGCAGAAATACAGCAGTTACTCAGATCATACAACAACTCAAAAAGACATAGTGGACAGAGGCGGGCCTAAATCTCATCTTTTTTTTATTTTATAAAAAAAATAAAAGGCCCTCCCATCATCTTTATTTTTTAGATCCTTCTTTAGACACTACAGTGCCCTCTCTCCATATCTCAAAATAATGTATTTATGGCAAACACATCAACAACATATATCATAATAAAAATATCAAAAGACATTTGCTTTAGGCAGCACCTCCAAAGAGCACACCGTTAAATGCCAAAATATATATTAATTATCTTGTTAATTACTTGTAAATGAAAGTCCAGTAATGCATGTCAAGATATTTTATTTAATCAATCCCACAAGAGATGAATAACATAGAATGTACCGCTGGGACGAGAACATTAAAAAGACATATTTTTCTAACTACCTTCCCTTCAAATAAATAACAAACAAATAAACTGAACCCCTAAGAATTTTGTACAGTGACAAATATAAAATCACTCATGCCTTGAAATGAAATAAATAATCTAAGATTGCAAAAGGGTTATTTGAATCTGTGTTGTGTTGGCTGTATTGGAGAATGTATTCCATGCACATGATATCACCGTTTCCAATAAAATACTCCCCACTTCAAGTTGATATACGTTTGTACTAAGTGAACGCCCTATCACCATTAGGCAGGCAGCCAAATCTATTTGCCTCCCTCAACTGTCTGTCCTAAGAGCGGATAAAACAGGACAGAAAAGGGACTGTGGCTACATTTGTATTCATGCAGACACCAGATCATTACAGCAGTAGGCAATGGTCCACATTACATTATCGTACAAATGACCATTTTTATCTACAAAGAAAATACAGGGAGTCTCCTCCCATCCTCACCGTTGGTGCATTGCATGTCAAGGCTGGAGCTCCCACAGCAGCCCCACTCCCGGCCATTCCCACAGTGGCCTTCAAGACCAGATCCAGGGAAGCAATCCGAACAGCAGTCCTTAAGCTTCCCTCGGCTCTGTATCTGGACCCCCACCAACCGGCCCGCAATCACAGCCTCAAAGCCGACCACAACCTCCTTTTCCCCGAGAGGGTACACAAAAACACCTGGATGACCAAAAGTGTTTGACACACAAAACAATAATGTCAGACTTTTGCATGAATTTAGAAAGCAATCAAACTACATAACATTTAAGTACAATATATCTTATACGGGCATGATAAATATTGACTGTTGCTTACTGTTCACATGTTTGGTGTCTGACCAATTTTGGTGCTGTTACATTTAAATGCAACTTTTGACAACTTTTAAGCTTAGATTGACTTTAAAGTGTTTTGCTCTTGATATAATAAATGTTTGAATTCTCTAATGCAACCTTTCTTGTTGTAGGTGTTATTTGTGGTGTTCCTCAAGGATCAATCCTCATCCCTCTTCTGTTGCAATAATGCATTTTGTTACCTCACACCGACAACATCCTGTACTTCTGTTTTGAAGCTTGACTAAAGTAAAACAGTTTACTTTTCTTCCAACTCAAACCCATCTCAACTTCTTCCTTTTTCTGATTTGCTGACATATGGAGTCAAATACAAATGCAATTCCATTCAAAATACAGTTGTTATGATTATTACTTGTGCTAAGAGTGAATCATGTACCTTCTACAGACTCCATGTCAGCATTAGCATAGGTAAGGTGTGCAGTGATGCCCAGGGAGCAGCCGTTGGCACAGGACTTGATGCAGGAGGCCTTGAGTAGCAATGGTTCCCATGTAGAGCAGTTTCTCAGTCCCACCATCTTTCCAGGGCAGCAACACGCCTCTATTCTGCTGGTTGCATGAGAACACAGCTAAGGGAAATAGTCTGAGCAGGCAGGAAGAAGAATATGTGAGTGTGCATTTAAATTCTCTCATTTTTCCATTCACAGAGCAATCCCAGTAATCTCTGTAAATCAGACCTGATATTTGCTGCATTAATTAAAATGTCCATTGGTTTCACATTTTGTATGTATACTGCATACGCCTGCCAGATATCTATAATGTATGTACACATCAGCTATTGGACATGTAACCAAGCTATCTCCTCTCCTCAGGCTCTTAGCAACCAACTGTGATAGTTTGAGTGTAAGAGGCTTCGTCAATCATTAACTTTGCATGTCAGCACTTACTCCACTACGCATCATGCCTATCATATGCGATCAGTGGCCGACCTGTATGCAAATATATGTAAACTTACATCTACCATCTAACTCTTACTTAATTGCACTCTTCGTTAACTGCAAGAACCTAGACAGTAAGAAATGATTGACTATACTCTTCTGATCTTTAACGGAAATTTGGTAACAAAACAAACCAACAACTAGACCCATTTTCCTTTGGAGTTTCCATTTATATAACTCAAGCTGTACGCAATAATTCTTCGTGACTGATCACTTAATAACTTTAAGTGCAGCAGGTGCAAAGACCAGTGTGCAGATTGCAGCTTAGCGAATGGTAGACTGCACAAAACTGTGTGTATGTGCATTTGTGTGCGCGCTCACACGCGTATAGTTGTTCGTGCATGTGTGTGTGTGTGTGTGTGTTTGCTGTGGTCCAGGTAATGGCTTTTTCACATCTACCTTTTTAACAAGATCAACAGCCTCCATCTGGCTACTGTGCTCTCAGCTCATAACAGGCAAATAATAAATGCCTGGTTGGTTAAAGAAGGACAAATTGATGCTGTCACTATACACACTAAAGTAAGTACAACATCACACCCCCCCTGTAGACGGCTGAGACTTACAGCTTTGGCAAAGCTGATGAATAAGCCAGACAGTGTGCTCAGCTTTATCAGTGAGACAAAAAAAGCAGATAATGACTTCTTTAAACATTATTAGTTGGTTGTGTGTGTGGTTTTACTTACAGTATGTCAACACATGGTACAGAATTAATGATGTAAACAGTACCCATGCACCTAATCATGAAGTTCTGTCTGAAATTCGAATGCAAATATCTACCAAAAAACAACAACAATCAGTAACACATTTTTGATGAATTGCAATGTAACTATAGCAGCTGTTATAGAAGTAAAACATTCAAAGTAAATCAAGATCTTACAAAAACATTTTGCATTTTTGAGCTTTAATTATTCTGTCTGGGTGTTTGCAGTATCATAGCTGGCCAAGAGTTAGCTCTGGGCAACACTGCAGTCCCCTTATGTTATGGTACAAGCTTCAGATAACAAGCAAAAGAATCATACAGGAACACTTACTGTTCAGTGTCTGATAATCTGCCTCTGTGTCCAGTGTCTGCATCACTCCACCATCACATCTGCTCCCAGTGACACAACGGTAGGAGTTTTCCTGGTAACAGATACTGCTCTCTCCTCTCCCTCTCCCCCTCTCTCTCTCTCGCTCTCTCTCTCTGTCTCTCTCTCTCTTTCTCATTCCACTAATCCACCAGTTTTCCCTACAAGGACAACAATCATTTCACAGAGAGTCATATATTCAGAAATATGATTTTACAAATATAGTACAAAACAGTTACTAAATATTAATATAATTTGCATGCACTAAAAGACCATTGCTGGTCTAACCTGGTATGAGACATCAAAGCCAAAACTGGAGTAAATGTAAAATATATTTTCAGTATCAGTATATACTAAAATGCCAGTTTTAGAAAGCATGGAAATGTCATTTCTTTATAAGTGAAATGTCCTCTGCTTACCGGCTTGGACCTGAACCACAGAGCTGATCAGAAAGTATGACCCTGAACCTGCTGTTCGGTTACAAGCTAACACATAACGGTAAGTGAGGCAGAGCCTGCTTCTCATCCAGACAATTGGCTGTGATGGTAGCAGCACCATAATTCATGGCTAATGGCTTGGCCAGAAAGAGGAGGGGAGTTATGTGTTCTTCCTCTCCCAACAGGTCAGTCAGACAGCAGCAGCAGGCGTGGGTAGGTGAGACCAAAAAAGAAGCTGCTGTTTGTCCCCTATTCTCCAGTTTAGTGGGTCCAATGCTACAAACTTGAAAAACGAAAAAAAAACATAAGGAATGGCAAGCAAGTAATCGACATATGACCATGAATAACTAATGTTACTGTGTGTTGCTTTTTTATCTTCTTTTATTTATGAATCTAAACGTAATCAAAGCATCATATTGTTCTTGTTATTCCTCATTTAATATACTGTATATAGTCTTTATTATATACCAATGTTTGCAATATAACAGAATAGCAAAAGTGTTTTATTTTCATTAATTCCCTCTATGACACATAAGTGATCAGGCTGACTTGTACTGATCAACATCTATGTTTACATTAATCATTGTTTACAATAATCATTGTAGCAATTGCTTTTCTTTTGTTATCAATTTCTTCTTAATGTGTGCAGAAGTTGTAAAATCCATTAAATGTGTTATTGCTTTATCTAATTTAATTTTCCTTCATTTTGCCCAAACATTTTTTTTACGGTGGAAGTTTCCATTGATGACTTTGATTTAGTACGCCCCAGGATGAAGGTAACATTGGTAAAACAGAAGATTAGCATAAGGAGTACCAAAATAATTGCCTAATCTGAAAGGGCAGTAAATCATTATTATATTGCTTTTAGGACAAGTAACTGGTAATTAAAATATATTCAAAAGTTTACCCCATTAAAAGGCCACTAAAACCAGAATACACAAGATTGTTTCTCTGATTATTTTTTTATTTTATTATATGGCACATGGTTGGTTTGCAAGTGTGTGTGTGTGTGTGTGTGTGTGTGTGTGCGTGTGCATGTGTGTGTGTGTGTGTGTGTGTGTGCATGTGTGTGTGTGTGCGAGCGACAGGAAGACAAAGAGAAAGAAAAGGACAGCTAGGTTCAGAGAAGTGGAATTCCTCCTTTTGACATTTCATCTGGAAGTCTGTTTTGATGTTCATGTTGTGACATAACACTGAAATCCTCTCTTAGTGTGAGTGAGAGTGAGTGAGTGAGTGAGAGAGAGTGAGTGAGTGAGTGAGTGAGTGAGTGAGTGAGTGAGTGAGAGAGAGTTAGTCAGTATTTTCAATGTGTCTCATACTGCCTCCATGTGGCCTTTTACATTTTCTCTATTTCTATTATTGTCTTTAGTCCCTGGAGAAGGAATTCAAGTCAATTATAATCTTCGCTTTTTAAATGCTCTTTTGGCTAGTTCAGTTAAGACTGGGTTTGCACCATAGACTGCATATGAAGATATAAGCTCTCTCTCTCTCACTCTCACACTCTCTCGCTCTCTCTCGCTGTCAATATTCTGCTGACTGTGCAAAGAGCTAATAAAGGCATTACTGATCTAGCAGAAGATAAGCCGGAATCAAGTAATCAAATGTGTGATCCTATAAAACTGACTCTTTTCACTCTGTTATATATCCATGCATTCAGGGGTCTGCTAGTGTTACCTCAAATCATGCAGAACATAGCAGGTCCAGCAGAGGGTAATAACTCTGCCAGACTGGACTGGAACTCTATTAAAAGAAGTTCCAATACTGTGACACTAGATGTCAGCCTTTTTCTCCCTTTTCAGCTGTCTGGTGCTCCAAACAGGAGCTATATTCAACGTGTAGTTTTGTCAATGGCACATGTTGATTAATTGCATCGGTATAACAAGCTCATTCTGTTTCTGTTCATTGTGGCTTTAGGTGTAAATAGTGTGAGGCTGTGTCTTAACCACCAGCAGGTGGACAGAGTCAATAAGTGCAAACAGGCCAGCTCAAAACCACGAAGGCACACCGAGAGGAGTCATCTGAGCCTGGACTCCCTCCCTGCAGGTAAGGACAGAAGAACACGTGGCCCAGTTAGGGGATTAACTGCAGGTTTTCACCCCTCACATTTAGCCCAAATGTCAAAGATACAGCCTCAGTATCACTGACCATCAAAGCATCATTGTCGGAAGGGGGCCCACCCCATGTTACGGCTGGGCTGAGAAGACAAAGGTCCCTTTGGTTTCCCATAAATAAACATTCACAAACAGAATCAAATTTGAGTTTAATTTAATCATTAAATCAAATTTTGATTTCATCAAGCTACTTGTAAATTACATTTTAGCAAGTACTATTAGTCAATAAAAATATGATATTGTAACACAAGACGTTGTTGTGTGTTGTATAATTATCATCGGGGAAAAAAATCGAAGCAGTGTTTCCATATAAACTTAATCAACCACATCATCATTATCACTCCATTTAGATAAAGCGGGTAATTAATCATTGAACAGTTGGTGGTTAATGTGCATTTAATGGCAGTTAATGTGATTGTTGAGGTCATAATAGATCTAATTAACGACATGTCTAACAATGACCCAATACAGGCCCGAGCAGACGAGCTGCTTCTGCTTGACTATTGTCACGAGGTTCAAGTGTCTGTCTGTGCTGAAATGTTGGGAACCTCTTCTCCGCTGCGTACCCCACTGACCTAGATTTCAATTGTTTTCTGCCTGAGACAATGGGAGAAATGGTTTCATAACTGAACACAATACCTGGGTGTTATTCAACACGACTGTTGTTAAAGTTCTCATTGTGGTGTGATTTTGTGCGGAGCATTGTGTGTTTTCTTTATGTAACCTGCTCAAGCAGCCAGCGACGGGACGGTGCAACCCACAGTAAATCACTTCTAGATGGTTCAACAGATGAATTCATGCAGCCCAGCTAGTCCAATCATTGCTGTGTCAAACACAAACACACTTCCCACATGACTTTACAAATCTCAGACAGCTGTCACCTGGTCTAGAAACAAAATCACCATGGCTATGAGCTACTCATTTGTCACTGAATATTTAAAGTCGACCCACCTACCAAAACGGCTGCAAACTTAATTTAGAGGATCAATCTGTGCACAATGCTTAGACAGACAAAAAAACTTTACGTTTACTGTTAAGCAATGCAATTGTCTTGCTGGCTCGTGTAACTTTTCAGTTTAGGCAACTTTAAAGGGCAATTTAAACATAAGACAAAGAAATACATTAGAAAAACATTTCCAAACACAATAAATAGAATGAAATGAAACACAGAAATGAAATGAAATAAGATAAAAGACCAGAAATGCAGTTGAAAGATAATAGGAAAATAAAAGCACAGTAGATAAATGAATCAATCAAAAGCACAGGAGGTCAGCAGATGATTTAATTTAGATGTAGAGTTGATTTAAGTTCTTCCTGATGATCTAAGAGCCCTGCTGTGAATATATTCATCAAGCAGATCAGACATGTATTTATCATTTGAGATTGTTTTAAACAACCTTCATGGGTACATGATGTACCTAATTTAGCACTCTATTAAAGGCCGGTGCACAGAAAAAGCACATAAACTGTGCCGTTAATTAAAGAATGAATGTATGTAGTCTGCTTCAGCCAAATAAGTATATTGATACAGATCTAGCTATTTCCAATTAAATAAGTCATTACTTGATCACTAACGCATCAGGTTGCATTAAGTTCAGCTCATCTAACAAAGTATAAATATGAAGTGCGCACAATCGTTTGACTCGCAGTGTTAATGACTGAATGTAGCCACCGCTGGACGAGAGAAAGGTAGAACATCACCGCTTGTGGAGATGGAGACAGGCAGGCGGAGGAGAAATGAGAGCCACAGTGCGCCATGCTCTGTGGAAAGATGAAGGAAGAGTGAGCAGAAGGCAAATTAATCAAAAGACATCAAAGGCAAATGGATTGAGGGAGCAAAGGAATGAAAGAGTGCCGCCCGTTTGTCCCCGCTCCGCTCCGCCTGAGCCTGCTCTCAGATCTCAGGGCCATTGTGCCGCACGGGCATATGGAGGGGGCTGCATGGGGCACAATGCACACAACAAATGTCTGAAACCAAGGCTTCAAAAGGAAGACTTGTCATTTTTCTATCTAGTCTCACTCAAACTCTGACTCTTCCTCCTCTGTATTTAGTCTCTGAAGCTTGTTTTTGTTTGTTGTCCTTGCACATGTATGGTTGCTTGTAGTTTGTTTTTGCAGTCAAAGCATTTGAATTCACCAGATTTGAATGCAGAAACGTTGAGTGAAACATCAACACAGTCACACATTCTCAGCCTTTCTCATTTGAATCACAGCTGGCTTCTGTGTTGTGGGAGAGAAAGATATGTCCTTAAATATGGAGATGCTTTGACACAGAGTTATAGTGACAGGATCTAAGCAAACTAGCTGATTTTGACACATTACATATTAGAATATTGTGTCCTCCAGCACACACAGAAACCACTTTTTTACTTCAACACAGTGACTATACACTATGAAAAACCTGAGATTATTCAATGCTGAATGGTGCTCTGAAGGCACATACGTTTTACTTTACTCTCCTCCTACAGTAAATCTCCAT